ATAACAACAAAATAAAAAAACAAAAACAGTTTAAACAAAATACAAACCAACAACAACCGTGCGGCTACTTTCGGTTGGGACCTCAGAAAGGAATGGTTTGTTTTCTTCATCTTGATCAGTCCTGCCTAAGACGGCCACCTGTCTTATAAAGCCTTTTTTCTCCTTGACAATGGTGGCCGTCTTACACATGTTTGACTGTAGTAGGACTGATGCATGCCATTATCAGAGGGGCTAGGAAAACACTTGAGAGGTGTGAAGTTTTGACCACTCCTTGCCGACTGGACAGGTGACCCTTGATCCCACTGGCTGGGCCTCTAGAACTCCCACCCTTTCCCCCTAAATTCCCCTGTCAAAGATGGTAAATGTCTAAGAAGAAGGAATTTTTCCTGGCTCCCTTGTGATTTCGTCTTACACATGTTCAACAGTACATATGCAAAAGGTAAAAATAAAGAAGAAAAAAAGAAACAGTCATAGGGGACAGAGAGATGATAAAAAGAAGAATATATAAATAAATCATGGAATTACTCGAAATCCTACCATGCTTTATAATCAGTGCTCTGTCCCATTTTGAGGATATCATCAGACTCTCCTCCAGGTCAACACAAGTCAGATGCACTACATCAGTCTCCAAATCAAATCCTTTAGCATGAAATATCTCCTGATATTTCAACATTCCAATTCTTTCCAAGAAATAATTCACATCATTCTTCATTTTTAATGTGTGTCAGCTGATGATACACAATGACTTCCTGCAGTTTATTAAATAAACTCGACTGAGTCAGGAAGAATATTGAATGGCGTCATTTGATTTGTAAATGCTAGGCTGTTCCTGAATTGAAGGAGACTGAACTTTTCAATCCTTCACTCTAAGCTTTCAGACACTTCAGATGAAAAGGATTCTGTGGAGAAAAAAAGAACATGGCATATTATTTTTGAACTAATCATTTTACAGTAGTATTTTTGTTTGTATGTTACTCCCTGCTCATATTCATTCTTGCTTTTCGACTGACATCATAAACAAAAGAAGGCAATATTGTCTTATTATATCAAATCAAGTTGATATGGTATTATGAGTATAGTTCCAGGAGATGTACAGTGTAAAATGAGCTTTATAAATTGCTTTCCACACATAATTTTTTACAATGCACTGTTTACATTCCCTTATAATTATTGGGAAAGTAGAATGGAGACTGACATAAAAGTATGAAGACAATCTTAAATTTATTTTTTTTTACAGCAAAAGTGATTTTTTATCCGAGTCCTCTTGACAGCATCAAAAGCAAAATTACCAGACCTGTTCTATTCCTGCTGTTGCTTTTCTTAATTAATACAAGTGATTGATCAGAATACAATCTATTGTCTTAGTTTCTTTATTTTTATGCTCCTCTGCTCAGAAGTTACTATCATTCCCGCCCCCAACTGATGAATAAACCCTTTGAGTTTGAGCCCTGACCTCCCGAGGCAACTGCGCCCCTCTGCCTGAGCTCCTGTGGGCAATTCACGCCTATATTTGAACTAAGTTAGAATGCTTATATTCTTTAAAAAAACGTAATAGATAAAGACTTGAAACATTGTGGCCTGACAGTACTTTATCTTCAAACTAATCAATACATCCTGTGCAGTAAAGACAGCTTTCTATGTGCATTATCAACCTGCATGTTTCGTGCAAAAAAAAATTATCAATTTTTCATCAAGCTACTCACAACTTCTATGGACACAAACATCTTTGCAAAGCCTTAGCTACAGTAAATACTACAATATGTCCTGACTGGTCAATTAATTACATCACATAATGCAAAAGGGTCTTACTCAATAGAGAACCGTATGGCTTGGCATATTGACAACTTTACGCTCTACTGCTAGGGCTCAAAGGGTTAAAATAAAAGGGGCCAAACTACAATCAATGGATTTTATGAAAATCTCTGTCAAACCTAATTGTGAAACATCAAATTATGAGAAAATAGAGGGGGGGTCATGCCTCCCTGAAATCTCCAGTATTGTTAGAAAATATGTACGGGGCAGGACACCATTTCTCACTAAGAGTCTTATTTTCTTCGTCACTTTGGTAAAAAATTTGCTGTTGTAGCAACTGAAGCCAAGGAGCAAGAAATGTCACATCTAGGAGGCTATTCAAGACAATCAGCCACTCACCCACAACATGCAATTGTTACTGCGCAGCTAGTCTTTAGAGGTAATAAATAATACAGTAGTCTCCACAAAAGATCCAACCGCTTATGATCCTGCTGTTTGTTTTAAGAAAACAAAATTTTTACTACAGAAAAGTCACCCCTAAGATCCACTCTGAAGGTCTACATTCAGATAAGATCCTGCATTTCAGATCATAATCTATGGAACAAAAACGTGGGCAGGCACAGCCGATCAACCAATAGTGAAAAGTTGAGATCATTGAACAGCCTGTTGCGTCAAAGATCAGTTGCTCTCGTGAATGTGATCACAAAAGGGTTGTAAAACTCGATGAAACGGCGCGCTGTTTGCCCCAGACGGAATCACACCGAGGTGTGAACTGACCAAAGCATTCGTTTTCCCCAAATGTTGCACTCACATCTCAGCCTCCACCTATACTTACATCACAGGATGGATGGGTCAGGCCTACAAGTTCACTTCAGGCAGGATCATATCGAACTGCAAACTCTTCCCTGACTGTTGCAACAGTTGTCTTTACTCCTGAATTTGTGAGACAGACTAAATTTTAATTGGTGTGGTCACAACGTAATGCTGCATAAGGACAAAGGCGGGGCAACTTGGTCAGAGATGGAAAGCTATTGTTGTTGACAGGTAAAAGTAAGGGAGGGGCAACTGCATAAGTGCAGATCTTGAGACTCACGATAGGAAGATAAATAAAAATGGCATCTCATGCCACTGTGATAGGTCATCAAGGTTGACCACTCTTTGCTCGCCATAAGTCATAGAATGATAAATCTACCTAGGGGACACGTCAGTTCATTTTAGATTTAGATTTAGAGTGAAGGGAGACCATTTTTACCAGTTGTGAGCCTTAACATGGGTCACCGCAGATTCTTCCCTTGGTGCGTCTACTAAGATCCCATTCACCTAAGATTCGGCATTTTCCTTGCTCCCAAGCACCGGGATCTTAGGCGGAGACTACTGTAGTCCCCGTTGTTTTATGACAGGTTATCACAGGAAAGACAGACTTTTTTGTCCCCTTGGTATTCTTTAACTTTCCCTTCCGTCTCATACTTAGCTACCAGAGTCCATTTTGCTCTACATATTGATGCGCTGAATACGAATACCAACTTCATTTCTATTGCAAATTAATAGTTTTTCAAATATTTGATTGCTCTTAATCGAGCTATATCACACTATGCCTAACCGTGCAGTAATATGTGCGCTTCGGACTAATTGGGAGGTTTCAGGCCCTGCCCCCCTGGGGTAAAAAAAAAAATCGGGGAGGGGGGTTATAATCAGAGCTGTTAAAGTACTTTTAAAAAAGTACTTAAGTACAAATTTAAGTACAATCTAAAAAATGTACTTAAGTACAGTAAAAGTACTTTCCTATAAAATGTACTTGAGTACAAGTACTTTTTAAAAAAGTACTTATGAGTACATTTTGAGTACTTTCTGCTAATATGCTAAAACACTTCAGCGCTTATGCAAAACATCATATTTTATAACTTATCCAGTATATTTGACAAATTAGGCTATTTATTACTAAAAATGTAAACAGTATACAAAGCATTTGAATATACAATGTACGCACTGAACAGTGGAAATGGTCCGTGAAGTTGAACAAAAAACAACCCAAACGAACAGACGCAACTAGTGGGTAAGTGATATTATGAATAGAACTTGTTTGAGCAAGACAATGTGATCAAATCTAAGTCAGTCCTACAGGTTGGAAAGTTCTACAGAAAGAGTATCCAAATTGAAAAATGTAGATACAAAGTTGCTCTTAAGAAAACATAAAATTGATGAAAATGGCCCACATAGAAATGGAAAAGTGCATTGAATTCTTCATTAACAAATCCTCAAGGAATCAATGTAGCCTTAAGCAAAAACCACCCAAAAAAAGTTTTAAAAAAATTTAGGCAGCCTAAAAATTGTTAGATACACATTGAGAACACAGTTTCAGTTTCAATTGATTACAGTGGTCTGACAGATTTTGGTCACACTGTGTAGTCCACAGCGCCAACGGCAAACCAAAATACAATAGTTTCCTAGAGTCTAGTAAGTAGTGTAACCAAAGATTGTCTACTACAGTAGTCTCCGCCTAAGATCCCAGTGCTCGGAAGCAAGGAAAATATGGGATCTTAGCCAATGAAGCCAAGGAAGAATCTACAGTGACCCATGAACTAACGTGACCCCTGGGTGGATTTTTGACATATATGGCAAGCAAAGAGTGGTCAACCTTGATTACCAATCACAGTGGCATGAGGCATGCCATAAATAATATTATATTATACACACTCATTAGCCTATCGTGAGTCTTGAGATCTTTATCTACGTTTATCCAGTTGCCCCTCCCCTTTACCTGTCCAACAATTTTAGCTTTCCATCTCTGATTGAGTCCCCCCCCCCCCCCCCCAACCTCCTTTGTCGTTACGCACCATTACGATGTGACCACACTAATTAAAATTCAGGTTGTCTCGCGAATTCGGGAAAAACTGCTTTCAATGGTCAGGGAAGAGTTCACAGTTTGATGTGATCCCGCCTGGAGCGAACTTGTAGGCCCTACCCACCCAGGGAGTGATGTAAGTTTAGGTGGTGAGGTCAGATGCGAGTGCGATGTTTGGGGAAAAGAAACGCATCGGTCAGTTCACACCTCGGTGTGATCCCGTCTGGAGCAAACACTGTACCGTTTCAAGGAGTTTTACAACGCTTGTGATCACATTCACGATAGTGGCTGATCTTTGAGGCGACGGGCCGTTCATTGATCTCAACTTTTAACTCTTGGCGGTTGATCGGGTTTTTGTTCCGTAAATTATGATCAGAAATGCCTGCACTTACCCTTTCATTAAGCTACCAAAGTACTCAAAATGTACTTAAAAAGTACTCAAAAGTACTTTTATAAAAAGTATCGGAGTACAGTAAAAGTACTGGTTTCAAAAATGTACCGGAGTACAGTAAAAGTACCGAAAATAGTAACGTAAGTACAAGTACCAGAGTACTTGTACTCCGTTACTACCAGCTCTGGTTATAATATACTAAGGTATCCCCCTGTTTTAACCCATAATTTGATATTTTACCGCTAGGTTTGAAATTTTCTTGACAATTGATTTGAGACAGTTTTTGGTATTTCTTCCACGAAGCAGTGCATCTGTGTGAGGGAGTGAAAGTAAAAATTTACCGTCCCATTTTTAAAAAGGCCGGCTCTAGATCTATTTCTCCGAACGCTTGGGGACAAAAACTTGAACTCTATTTCTCCGAACGGTTTCCGTTCTCGAGATTTGTAGATAATTTGCGAATGGAGTGGCCTGCGTGCGCGCGCGTGTGTGAGAGTGGGCATGTGTGTATCATGTGAGTGTGCGTGTGTGTGTATAAGGTGTGAACAAGGCGTCGTGGGACGTGAATGGATTTTATTTTGGCCGGCTCTATTTCTCCGAACGCTCGTAAAAATAAACTTGAACTCTATTTCTCTGAACGGTTTCCGTTCTCGAAATTTGTTGATAATTTGCGAATGGAGTGGCCCACGCGCGCGCGCGTGTGTGAGTGAGTGTGTGTAAAGTGTGAACGAGGCGTGGGGGTGAGGGGACACACCTTAAGAAAGCCCAGCGGAAACATCAAAAGACAGTCACTGCAGTGGAACCCACAAGGAACATGAGGCAAGGATAGGCCACGGGAAACATGGAGGAGATGCGTGGAAAGAGACATGAGAGAGATGAAGCTCACTTGGATTTTTACTTGGAACGAGTTCAGAAGGATGGCTCAGGACAGAAATAAATGGAAGGAGCTTGTATGTGGCCTATACCTGGCCAGGGGTGAAAGGCATTAAAGACGATGACATGCAAAATAGGTTACTGCCAAGGTCGAGCAGTCTTGTTTTCTCGCAGTACCTTTTGAAAGCATTTTCAAATTCAGTATAGTCTGGGAACGTTGCCCCAAGTTCTACAACTGAAGTATCTGAATATTCAGACATTTTAAAAATCTCTAGATCTAGCTCTAGAAATTGAATTCGATGCAAAAAATGCTTCTTCCGAGTCCCCACAGAATGGCAGAATGAAAGGTGACGCCTAAATCTTGCAAATAACCAAAAAAATATCCAGAACGGAAACCGTTAGGAGAAATAAAGATTAAGTTTATTTTCCCGAGCGTTTGAAGAAATAGTCACTTCGTTTTATTTTTGTTTACATGAAGGATTTTAGAGTTTGCTTTAGGGGTGACTTCTCGCAGTATCTTTTTGAAGGTATTTTCGAATGAAGTGTATAATAGTCCAGGAACGTTGCCCCAACCACAACTGAAGTATCTGAATATTCAGACATTTAAAAAGCTCTAGACCTAGATCTAGCTCTAGAAATTGAATTCGATGCAAAAAATGCTTCTTCCCAGTCCTCACAGAATGAAAGATGACACCTAAATCTCGACAAAAAAACAAAAAATCTCGAGAACGGTAACCGTTCAGAGAAAAATAAATCAAGTTTATTTTCCCGAGCGTTCGGAGAAATAGTCACTTCAGTTTTATTTTTGTTTACATGAAGGATTTTAGAGTTTGCTTTAGGGGTGACTTCTCGCAGTACCTTTTGAAGGTATTTTCGAATGAAGTGTATAATAGTCCAGGAGCGTTGCCCCAACCACAACTGATGTATCTGAATATTCAGACATTTAAAAAGCTCTAGACCTAGATCTAGCTCTAGTAATTGAATTCAATGCAAAAAATGCTTCTTCCCAGTCCTCGTAGAATGGCAGAATGAAAGATGACACCTAAATCTCGGCAAAAAACCAAAAAATCTCGAGAACGGTAACCGTTCGGAGAAATATAGATCAAGTTTATTTTCGCGAGTGTTCGGAGAAATAGTCACTTCATTTAAAAAAGGCTGGCGTTATTCTCACTCCGGGTGAGAATTAATTTCCATTTCATTCTCACTTGGTCTGAGAATACAACTATGGGACTACCATTATCGTTGTAGTAGTGTTGTTGTTCTTTCATTTACAACCAAAATTACCGCAAAATGAGCGATTTAGAGGCCGATTTTGCTGAAACCAGAGAGGAAAAAATTTCAGATGAAGTTGTCTGTTTTCTATAAATAATAATAATAATAGATACCATTTGTATAGCGCATATCCCCGCTCAACAGCAGGCTCTATGCGCTTTACACTATATTATTACCCCAGCAGACCAAAGAACACTCTGAAACATTCTCAGCTTCCCAGGAAGCATACAGTGCAAGCAGCCGATTAAGCGCTCAAACACTAACAAACTGACAAGATCTTTCGCTGTCAATAGCCGGGTACCCATTCCCACCTGGCTGAAGTGAGGAAAATTCGTGTAAAGTGCCTTTCCCAAGGACACAACGTCGGGCCCCTGACGGGATTCGAACCCGCGACCTTACTGTTGCGAGTCCGAGAGCCTAACTACTAGGCCACCGACGTGATTTCTGTCTTTTGAACCAGTGTCAGCTGTGCACAAGGGCTCTGTTGATTTGGTTGAAAGACTTGAAAAAGGTTTAGGATACCGCTTGGGGGCGAAACATTTTTTCAAGGATTTTTTTGTGAGTGTTCTAGATCTAGATCTTTACCAGATGATCAGTGTCAAAACCCAACATCCCATAACTCAAAACTATTTAAATGAAATAAAAAGGGCGGAAACGAAAAAAACGCGTGAGAATAATATGAAGGCCGGCTCTATTTCTCCGAATATTTGGGAAAATAAAGTTGAACTCTATTTCTCCGAACGGTTTTCGTTTTCGAGATTTGTTGATAATAAACGAATGGAGTGGCCCGTGTGAGTATGTGTGTGTGTGAGTGTGTATGTGTGCATGTGTGAGTGTAAGGTGTGAAGGGGGGGGGGGCTGGAGGGATTTTTTTTTTACATGATGGATTTTAGTTTTTGCTGGGTGACTAAATGCAATTTTAATAGGTTACTGCAAAGGTTGAGCTGTCTTGTTTTCTCTCAGTACCTTTTGAAGGTATTTTCAAATGAAGTATAATAGTCCGGGAATGTTGCCCCAACCACAACTGAAGTATCTGAATATTCACACATTTAAAAATCTGTAGATCTAGATAGATCTAGAAAAAAATCTAGATCTAATATCTAGATCTAGATCTATATTCTACCTTTAGAAATTGAATTTGATGCAAAAAATGCGCACCGGGTGAGAATAGCCAAAAGACTCGCCTGCACTATTCTCACCTCGGGTGAGAATAGAGGTGGCCTTCTTGGCTATTCTCACCCGGTGCGCGTTCACCGTTATAGCCTAGAACTAGGCCAACAAATTTTGCGTTCACCCTAAACCACAGAATTCTACACTGTGATAACAGAATATTTGTAGAATTCTGTGCCATGAACAAACGTTCCATTACAACTGTAGCCTACTAAAAGCGTACAATTTTGTCTGTGGGCAGTGGAGAGAGAGAGAAAGAAAGAGAGAGAGGAGAAGTGCGAGAACTTTCGGGCAAAACAAAATGGCGACCCGCGTAGTTCGGCTCCATTCGAAAAGTCGTAGCATCTTTGTAGACAACCAAATTAATTTACTTTTGTGTTTTAACATCATTTTTTAACTTTGTTTAGGTCAATTTGATCGTCCACACCGATAGACAGTATTCAGAAAGAGACAGAGAGAGAGAAGAGGGGAGGGGTAGATCTTGCGAGAACTTCCGGGCGGGTGAGAATAGCCACTTTCTTCGGAGAAATAATCTAGAGTTCAACTATATATTTTCAAAAACGTTCGGAGAGTTAGATCTAGACTAGTCACTTCGTAATATGAATGTGGGAGTATTCTATTTCTATGGGGTGAGAATAATCACACCGTTTTATTTTAAAAACGAAGTGGCTATGCGTACGGCTCCTGTACTGCGATTATTATAATAATAATAATAATAATAATAATAGATAGCATTTTATTATTGGAAGTGGCTATTCTCATCCGGGGTGAGAATAGAAAAACGATCTACCTCTCACCCCGGGTGAGACTTGCCAGCGTAGGCTATTCTCACCCGGTGCGAAACAAGACCTGCTTTTCCTCATTTTGGAATATTGTCTATCGGTGTGGATGATCAAATTGATAAAAGCCAAGAAAAAATTACGTTATAGCACAAAAGTAAGCTAATTTGATCGTCTTCAAAGATGCTTTGGCTATTTCACTGTTCGAATCGAGCCGAACTACGAGGGTCGCCATTTTGTTTTGCCCGGAAGTCCTCGCAAGATCTACTCCTCCCCTCTCTCTCTCTCTGTCTCTTTCTGAATACTGTCTATCGGTGTGGACGATCAAATTTACCAAAACAAAGTTAAAAAATGATGTTAAAACACAAAAGTAAATTAATTTGGTTGTCTACAAAGATGCTACGGCTATTTAACTTTTCGAATTGAGCCGAACTACGCGGGTCGCCATTTTGCTTTGACCGGAAGTTCTCGCGCTACTCCTCTCTCTGTCTCTTTCTCTCTCTCTCCACTGCCCACAGTCGCCACAGACAAAATTGTACGCTTTTAGTAGGCTACATTTGTAATGGAACGTTTGTTCACGGCACAGAATTCTACAATTTTTCTGTTATCACAGTGAAGAATTCTGTGGTTTAGGTTGAACGCAAAATTTGTTGGCCTAGATCTAGGCTATAACGGTGAACGCGCACCGGGTGAGAATAGCCAAAAAAGACTAGCCTGCACTATTCTCATCCCGGGTGAGAATAGAGGTGGCCTTTATTATTAGGCCTAGATCTAGATCTAGATCTAGGCCCTAGATCTATAGTTACTAAAGATATATATATCTAGATCTAGAGAATCTGAAGACAAGAAGAGATAGACGCGACTTCTTTACTTTTTAAACAAAACTGTCAAACTTATATTTGTCAGAACTTTGCATTTTTGGTCACTTGAGTTGAGCCTTGGCCTTGAGTTTGAGAGAATTAAAATCAAACAGTGCTCCTCACAAGAAACACAGAAATATTTCTTCCCTTTCGCTTGGTATGTAGCCTATTTTGTCATAAACATTAATCGGCATCCGACAAGACAACATTGATGGAATGACAAGTCTAGATTCTCAACGGCAAAGAGTGAGAATAAACTGTGTTTACCATGGAAGCCGCCATTTTGTTTAAGCTCAGGTCCGCATCAAATACTTCTCCTGTGCGGATTGGCAAAAAGGCTATTGGCGTCCGTAGAGATAACTTGATCAGCCAATGGCATTGCTCTGTTCATTGACAGCGTGGCTTATTGTCTAACATAAAATAGGTGTGTCCATATCTTCGCAGGTCCATTGATTCCACGTCTTGTTGTAAACAGATCAAGCCTTCTGTTAGCCTGCTGCCCGTCCAGAGCTTTTGTGTTGATCATAATTTAGATAGCGAAAATGAGTGAAAACGGTGCATCCGGACGAAAAGTAGCCCTTATCACAGGAATTACAGGCCAAGTAAGTGCTTTTACTACAAATAAATAGATATACTAGATTCTAGATCTGGAAGTGGAAGTAGAGATAAAAATACTTTTCTCTTACTGCAACTTGATGACTTTGTTAGAATATTAGAAGGCTAACATCTAGATTCTAGATCTAGAATAATATATATCTAGAGACTATAATTAGATCTAATCTAGATCTACTAGATATCTAGATCTAGATCTAGATTTCTAGATCAAGATCTACTTGTAATTGTATTATTTATTATATAGAATCTATATATATATCAATATCTAGATATAATATAATAGACGTCTAGAATCTGGCTGCCTAAAATAACACCCATGTCTCGCTATTCTCACATAACCCATCCATGTCGGACCATGTCTTGCTATTCTCCCCTGAGAATAACTCATACTCATACTCGCTGTTCTACTGTTCTCACCCCTCCTCTCCAACCCCCCGACATCTCGCAGGCCGATAAAATCACCTAGGCCCTTGGTGGCTTACCGCATGCCGCATGTGGTTGGAAACGAATACTAATTGTAAACACGTTTTTCGCTTTTCAATCCGTTCGCTTTTTCCCCTCTCCAGTAATAAAAGGCTCACTACCGACACTACTGAGCGGGATGTGGGGCCGACGGGCCATTCGTTGTTTACTCTCACTCTCTGCCTGCACACAATAAATTATGGTTCAAGGAACAGAGAGCGTGTACAAATGTAACGAGACACAAGCACGAGACAATAAAATTTTAATGCTCTTGCACGACGGTAGAAGGGTTGTAAATTATTCAGACCGAATGGGCGAGGGCGTAAAGTCGTGTTAACTAGTGTAATAATTAAACAGTCCAAGCTCTTTTCTTGACTTTCATTTTTCTTTTCTTTTTTTCTAGCGTCTTGTTTCACTTTCTTCTTGAACATTTGGAGTTTGGAGCCAAAAAAGAGCCCCAGAACCAAATGAAATTCTCCGGGCCAGACACGATCCAACCAAAAAAGCCAAATTTCTAGGATTTGGCTCCAAACTAACAACCGTGACTGTTGAGCATTAGCCCTAACCCCCCCAGGGTCATGCCCGCTAATTTCAGCCCTGATCCCTCTAGGGTAATTTCCGGTAAAACGCCGAGGGGGTGAGAATAGCGAGACACGGGTTATTTTCACCCGATATTATTGGCCAGTTTCAAGAAACAAACTTTTTCAACAGTTAGTGTATTATTAATTTATTAGTAGTATGTTGGAGCAGTTTGATGGCTCTAATTAGCCTCTGAGTATATTTTTATGTCAGTTATCTTCTCGAAGGAACTGGTTGATGAAAATTAATGAAAGTACAATTTTTCTTAAAAAGCGTGTCTAACCTCTGCATAGGCATACCTTTATAAATCTGGAGCCTGTGAGTTGTTGTTTCAGGATATAATGTTAACCTTTGTTGATTGTCTTTGTTGAAGGCTTGATTGTGCCAAGCTTGAGTTGAGTAATGTCAGTACATTGTCCGAGCTTGATGCATTAAAAAATACAAACTTTAGAGCAGGGTGTTGGCATCCTTTTCAGCTGCGTAGGCCACTTGGGAGCTCAGAGAAGGCCCACAAGGTTGTGGCATAAAATGAGGTCATATACTGAACTGTCTACAAATACCATTGACAACTCTTTATCATACTTAACTGACCTTGACTTTAAAAAAAATCTTTAATAGCATATCTACTAATTCTCTCTTTGTCTCTCTCTTTCTTTCTTTGATGTAGTTGTGTACCATGTTGTCATATATGCCTTTACACACACTTGAACTTGGATAGAGTCCAAAGCTTGCTGCTCAAACAACTCCAACTGGATGTCAGAAGGGCCATCTTCATGTAGATTATCAAAAGGAGTGCTAATGATTTTCAGCTCTTGGACGTGAGATTGCTCGTCGAAGAAGCGTGATCATAGGAATTTATCCTTTGACGCATTCTTTGGTGTCAAAAAGGGCAGCCTCACACTGGTCGAGATGGGAAAAGTGACATTAATTTTATGCTCCTTTGCTCAGTTGTTTCTCTACAACAGTAGTTTCACTTCGAATGCTCTTACATGGGGTTCCATGTCCGTAATGGTTATGTCACATCCTGGTGGCTATAGGTTCCAGTCATTGAGAAGAGAACTGATGTCTGTGGGGAAGCTGAGCTGTCTTGTCCAAAAACTGTTCAGAGCCCTTAAGATCCCTCTCACTGATGAAAGAGAAAATCTCATGACGGAGGGTGAAGACATGCTTCAAGACATTGCCATGGCCTCAGTATGGTAGAGTAGGCCACCTTTTATTAGAAGATGCTTTCATCCCTGCTGCGGTGGCCTTCAGCGCGTCTTGGTAGACTGAAGTGGAATGTGCTGATTTTCTGTGTGAAACAATGCATGAGTCAAGACAAAGCCCAGTAGGTCAGAATAAAATGAGGAGTATTTGACCAGACCGATACTCTCATTAGGTTGTAACTAGACTTTAGTACTGATATTTTTTTTGTAGCAAAATATTCAATACTCCAAACGTATTAAAATCTTTGGGAGCAGAGGTCAGCAGCATGTAAGCCTTTATTGATCATGGTTTTACTACTTTCGATAAGAAACTTATTTAGTTAGCAAAGACAGATGAATTTCAAAGCATTCTACCTTTATTTTGAAGGGAACATTGATTTGTGTGCAAATGAAAATTTAATCCTGTTTTGAATTTTGAAAACTGGTTAATAAATGATACATTTTACAATGGCCTTTTTTTTATATCTTAAAAAGGGCCTCTTTTGTTCATTTTGTTCTGATTTTCTAAAAGAATATTGAACCTTGCTCTAATGGCCACACGTCCAAGACAATTTAAACTGTACAAACGATCACTTCCCACCTCTCCTATTGTGTTAAGAAATATTTTAATGACACTGTCCAAGACATCCACCTATCCAAGACAGTAGGACAATTTCAACTGTGTACAAGAAGTATAGGCAGAAAATCTTTGACTTTGGGAAGGGAATTTGTTGTCAGATAGAACTAGAAAATTTTGCTATGTTTAGTTTGACCATTCTATGATTATTTGAAAAGTTTTAAGACTCAGGAGTAACGTTATGTTTTAAATTTAGATTGAAGCACAACAAGGATACTATTGGTTCATACCCCCTGCATGCGATAGCACTGCCTGCTGGCTCTGGTTTGCCCAGCGTGGGAATGACGTGGATCAGCTTTGCTACAGTTAGGGAGCTAGTTATGAGCATGTGGTAAAGTTTTTAAAAAAGAGAAAGTCTAGTGACCCTGTTCCTGAAGAAGGGTCCAAAGTGTACTCTCTTTCTCATCTCCCTTTCTCTCAATGTTTTCCCTTTTCTCAAAACACAGGGCTAATGTTCACCACAACAGTGCTGGGTGTTTAATTATTCATAAACTATGCTAAATAATGTTAAAGAAATGCCCAATCTCTCTTCTTACCATTGATACTGACCATACCCATTTTTTTATGCAGGAAAAGGAAAGCTTTTCATTTTCACGACTACCATTCTAATGTATTTTTTGCTTTTCGTTTCAGGATGGATCATATCTTGCAGAGTTTTTGCTTGGCAAGGGATATGAGGTATGTGAAGTGGATAAGCCCATTGTGTGATACATTATTTATAGTTTATTTGACATGCTTCTTTCTTTTACTTAAAATGAATTTTGTATGAATGAAGTGTTAAAAAAATCGTGAATGGATTTTAATTAATTTAATTGCTCTTCACGGAAAACAATTTTATTTTAAAATGGGGAGAAGAGTTTACAAGCTTTAGTTGAGATGTAAGTATTGTGACTTTTGATGGAAAAGCTTTCCTGGTCCAGATATATTACTTAGATTTAAGTTCAACTTGATCCAAAATGTTTATTGTATGTGTGCACACGCCTTAGGAACTTTTGCATGAATTGTCTTCTTTGAATCCCTAAACATGCTTCCTCTCCCCTTCCGAGAAAAAAAAAATTGTTTGTTCTATCACTTCTCTGTCTGTCTGTGCTGTCTCATACTCAAATGCACTGCTGAACATTCTTGCGTGTATGCTAAGAAATACCCACATGCGCAACTATAGCATTTCTGTCTTTCAATTTAATGATATGTGTATAAACATTATATTGTAAGACTTTTTGGGGGGCTGTCGTGGTTACCGTGTTTGCCTCTCATTCAGTAGGTCCCAGGTTCGGAACCTAACAATGAAGGTAAATGTTCTTCTCTAAAATGTTCTCCTTTCAACTTTTTTCATTCTCTCTAAAGCATGTTCTGTCGTCTGCTTTCACCTCCACTTTCTGCCCCCTGCCCCCTTCTCCGGGCTCCTGACTTTTTCTGCAGCCTTTCAACTGCTACTCTATGGCTCCTTTTTACTGCTGTCTTTCTGCCACACCCCTAATTTTATGGTAGCTAAGATCTGACACCTATCCTTCTCGGGTAAGAGCGAAAAAAACTCGGACGTCCCATGTGCAAGTTGCGCACAATAAACCAAAAATTAGAAGGAAAAAAACACTTAAAACCGAAACAAACAAGACTTCTTTACTTCGTCTTCTCTATACTTTGTTTACATGCCTCTTTCCCAACTCAACTCCTCCTCTAATTTCTCTCTCTCTCTCTCTCTCTCTCTCTCTCTCTCTC